GTATCCGTAGATTTCGCGAGCGAGCGGTTTCGTTCGAATGGTTTCGATCGTTGTTCGAGAATTCATCCGGGAAAATACGTAGCGCAAAATAGCTACGACTATTTTGAGCCACGTGCCTCTTTGATCGTTTTGCTCGAAAAACTATACACTGGCTTTCGAGAATTCGTTGGCAGAGGCACGACAGGTTAAAGTACCGCGAGGGACTACGAGGCAGGGTCTCATGCAGTCTTTGTCAAGTCGTTTCCTAAAAAGAAACAATACGATCACGTTACTTCTATGGTAACTGGGTCCAACTCTTTTTTCTCTCCTGTTTCTCTTCTTCTGGCGTTCCACGACACGATTCCTTCGTAAACCGATCGGATTTTACGCAGACGGTTAACTTTCAGTTACCACAGTTACAACGCAGGTCAATTACAGGTACATGATCGATACATGATAAATCAGTCATACTTTATTACGTTACTCACTGCTATTAGACATATTTTTCATTGTATCTGTTATATTAGTGTTGTGTTGTTATTGTTATTATTATTTTTGTACAAATAAATAAATTAATATATATATATATGTATATATATATATATATATATATATAGGAAATCAATGTGAGAACGAGTTGTGAAAAAATTAGTCGCTGCAAGGCGTATGGTAATTCCAGGATTTTGAATCGTTTCGCGTGTATTTCTGCATTAAAACTGGAATTCCCAGTTTACTGTAACGATGAAGAACAGACTTGGATATGCAGTATATGTCAGCTGCCTTCCTGAGAGACAACCCACTGGCCACTGCTTCGACAGCTGATCTGATTCGTTCGAGTTCGAACTTGCATTTCGTGTATCTTCCTCCGAAAGATCTCGTCCCTCTGTCACTGTAATAGCCTCGCCCTGTAACACGAATTAATCGCAGTTGTAACAGAAACGCAAAAGCGCGTTCCACCGTGATTACGGAGAATTATCTGGCTTGTCCTTGTGCCGTTCGATTCCCATAGAAGGGATCGGAGAAGAGAAGACGCAGGAAGGAAAAACGGTGATAAACGTACCGATGGCAGCGATCGAAAGACGCGTGGAGAACGCAATACCGAAAAACGCGATCTGCTGTAACGTACCTTTGGTAAAATTTCGATCTATCGGCGGTGCATGTTACGGCGGCAAGGATGAAAACAAACGTTGGAAATTGCGATTTCAAGACGATCCGATACAAAGAAAACGTCCATAAGCTTAGTTTTATTGTATACAGGAAAAGATGGTGAAACAGCCACGAACCACGCGAACGAATCGAACATCTATATATCCGCGTGTATTCTCTTCATGTGAGACTTGAGATTCCATTTTCGATTGCTTCTGTAACTACAGTAAGGGCAACACTCGGCCTTTTTCTGGCCGCAGGACGCCTTTACGTGTTCCACCAAATGATGCTTCCAACGATACGATTTAGAACATTTCGAGCACTTGTATCTGCCTCCGAGGGGATCCGTGCTTTTGTTCCTGCATATTCGGGTAGGCTTGCGATCAGACCCGAAATAATTAGCCTCGTAAGAGCACCTTTCCGATCGTAACTCGGTCGCTTCGGTTACCGTAGTAGGCTCGAATACCTGATACTCCTCCCAAAGGACCAGTTCACCTGAAACACAATATTCAATTTGTCATTGACAGCGTTCGACACTGACAGGTTCTACCGCCTTTGCACCGTCGACGATCGTCTAACGAAAATCTAAGAGTAGCCGAATAATCGTTCGCTCAATGGGGAAACAGTGACGGTCAATGGATAAGGGGACCAAGCGACAAATATGAAAAACATGAGAGGGTTAAGATTACAATTCCTCTGGAAACATTGGATAAATATATCAAGCGGAATCAACTTTATTTTCTCTCTTCCTTTTCCTTTTCTTTCCCTCTACTGTTCAAGTACGACATTTACAAATCACAATATGACAGAAGCTTACACACAAAGCGTTTTGCGTCGATCAGTTTGCAGATCTGCTCCTCAATTCACTTTATTTGTCGTCTATTTAACATCGATATCGAACAACTAAAACATAATCGTCGTGTAAAATTTCGTTTCGTTCCGTTTGATTTCCGACGGTGTTTCGTTCGAACGATCGACTCAGGCATCGGTGTCGTTGCAATGCATACGACTGACGTGCTTTTTCAAGTTAGATTTCTTGTATGTACGAAAACTGCAATATGGACAACACTGCTGTTTGTCCTTGCCGCAAAATATTTTTTGATGTTCCACCAAATGACCCTTCCTCTTGTAGCTTTTCAAGCATTTGAAGCAAGAGTATTTATACTCTTGCCTATCTTCTTTCAAACCGCCTGTCGCGTATTCCATACTTTCCATCTCATCGTCGTCTTCGTCCTCGCAGGTTTCTTCCGTTATCACGCAATCGTCTGTATATCCCTTGACACTCTCGTTTTCAAGATTAATCCGTGCAGTTGCGACGTAAACGTCGGTCACGTCGAGTAACTCCATGCGTTCGCCAATTCCTTCTCTGATCTTGAAAGCGGCCACGGAATCTGAAACAAAATATCACGCGCGTTTACACAGGACTGCGTTTACACGAGAAACCGTACGTTCCGCAACATGAGAATCTACACAGGGATATATCAAAGAAGCATATTATATGAACAGTCGTGTTACAGAAATTTCCGTTGGTATTTGCGTTTGCACTTTCGTTACAAACGAGTCTACTTCAACGACCGGTCAACGTTCATCCCTTAAACACATGTAAACATCGTTAGAAACTGGTTACTCGGTAAAAAGCAAACGAGGATTCTACGATCGTTTGTCCAGTGTTGATCGACTGCGAGCAAATCATCGACGTCGGTTGATTTCGGTCGGATTGTGGCACCAGCATTTTTTCAACGATCGTCAAAGTTGAATCGTCGTTAAAACGAAAAGAAAAGAAAAGAAGAAAAGAAAAATAACAAGTGAAAGATAACGAAACGGGACGAATCTTCGAAGAATTTTTTCAGATGGTTGGATCTGTACACAGGTATTTATTTAAAAAGCAATCGACTGCCGGACATCGTTACACAGGAACACTTAACCATCACTGCGCAGCATTCTTGCTCGATCTAATAGATTTACGGATCTATCGAATCGAATGGATAAGATAGGCTAGATGTTCATGCATCGTAAACGAACGATTCGCGTACATTATTCCTTCTAAACTATCGATAACAAGTACGATTCATCTTCCGCGTTCATACGATTACACAAAGAATGAGATGAAAGGTGACTGACGTTCACTACTTGATTAGCGTGAATACTTATATGGAATTGAATCCGTTACGTCGACACGATCTCGATCGATCGTAGCTTGTCACACACGAGAGCGAACGGTTTCTTCCTGCTCCTCCTCCTCCTCCTCCTTCTCCTCCTCCTCCTCCTCCTCCTCCTCCTCCTTCTTCCTCTTCTTTCTTCTTCTCGTTCTTCACCTTCCCCCCTCTTTTGTCTCTCTTTGATACTCGGATTTCAATAAAAACGGATAAGAAAGAGAAAGAAATTATCGTACTGTGTTTCGTCTTTCATCCCTCTTCCAGAGCAAATGTTACGTAGACGATGAATTCGTCGAACGCGTCCGCGCATTTCTCGTACGACACGCGTCAAAGTTAATTTCTCGAGATGTAGAAGCATGTTCGTTCGAACAAGGAATCGCGACGTTCAAACATCGTATCGTTGCAGCCGTGAATTCTTGTTCGAGACACGCCACAGAGAGAGGAAATTGAGCGTACAACGTCGTAATTACAATTCTACCACTTGAAACGCGATACTCGCAAAGTTTCGAACGGTTTTTATAGGAAAAGACGGCTGCCAATGCATGCTTGTCCATACTACGATCGCTTCGATATCAAATAGGTAGGAAATCGGTTGCTAGAATTTACTGCGCTATCGTTACTTTTCTCGATATGGTAAAAATCGTGACAATACGTACGAAAAGTTGTAGATTGCACGATCCGACGAATCTATGTCGCTAGATTCGACCGACGAAGGTAGAAAAAAAAGAGAGAGAGAGAAAGAAAAATAGGTAATGAAAGAAACGACAAAGTGGAAGAAAAAGAAAAAAAAAGAAAAAAAACAGCCTGTAGACTAGATTGGATTTATCAAAGAGCGGCTACGGTTATTTCGTGAGTCGCGCTACTGCATACCGATATACGGATAATCCTTTTTCGCAAATCGACACACGACACTAACTTTCAACACTCTCTAACGATTACAAATATTTGATCGTCGGTGACAATAACATTTCGAAGATGTTTTGGCTTCGCACAAAATTCGGCCGATCCACAATGTGTACGTTATGCAACGAGTTAAAGGAAAATTGTTGTTCAAACGTTCGAGTGTTGAAATATCGACTCGACAAGGACAAACCAATACGTATGCGTAGTGACGGATTTACAAACACCAATGAAACCGTACGAAAGAAACATCGTTCCGAACAGCATGGTTTCCCGCGTGGAAAACGAGTTCCATCGCAAAATCCAAAGACTTTGGCTTCGTACAAATATCGCTGAACGAAAAGAGTCGTAGACGATAAATGACGTTCAGCGAAACAGCTGTCTACTTGATGTTGTGCACCGAGAGCAGGTGCTTGAGAAACGAGGCCTCGATCCTCGATCTGTAAGGGCAATACTGGCAGGAGAAGTGAGTCTCAAACGTAACCATTCCGCAGCCCATCTTCAGATGTTTCCGTAGATTCGACGCCCAGGAGTACATTTGTCCGCAACGCGGACAAACGTGCAGCCGCGGCCTCACGATCGGGAATAAAGGAGCATCTGGAAAGAAATCTCGGTTATTAAAGAACGACGAGCGAACGGCGTGACGCGATGCGATACGATGCGATGCGATGCGACGTGGCGCAAACCGAAAAGGATTATTTAGGAGGGCAGGTTCCAGAAGAAAGAAAAGAAAGAAAAGATGGGGGATCGCAGTGGCTAGCTTCTAGACATCGAAGCGCATGCCTTGCCAGGTTAATAGAACACAACGGAATACGACGACAGTCCCGTCTAGTCGCCGATAATCGTACGCGCTCTTCGAGCAGAAACCTGCGAAGCTGATTCTATTCGACGGCGATCGGCACGAATAGTCGCTTCGGGATTTCCTCGAAAAGGGCATGTTTCCGGTTTCGAGCAGCTAAAAAACGACGATGCTAACACACCTGTACTTTCGTACTCGTGCACGCGCATATACTTACGTTCTGTTTTCGTGGCCCGGATCGTTTCGTTCGGCTGCCATTGCCTGAAAATATTTGTAAAACGGTCGAGAGAATGTTAGCGTCAAGGGTTAGGTTTTCGCATGGAATAAAAGTACACTTTATTATCGGCCAGCAGATCGGTCGCACAGTAATCCATTCGCTAATGCATGTGTATCCGATGTTTACAAAGTAAATGCCTCTTCAAATTTCCCTTAAAGTTGGACTTGTAATCGCAGATAGTGCAGCAGAAGTTTGGTGGCTTCCCGCAAGCCATTCTTTGATGCAGTCTCAAGCTGGAGGGCCAAGAGAATGGTCGACCGCACCACTCGCACGTGTGCATCATGTTACCTGAAACAAAAATCTTAGTCAGCGCATTGGCAAAGGCGTGGGCTTCCCAAAGACCGTTCGCAACCGACTTTCCATTCTTCTCCTCTTCCTCGATGTCCGCTAATCTAGTTTTTCCAACGTAGAAAATCCACGTTGCAAAAGCACCACGCGATACGATAGTACGTCGCGACACACTCGGTTTCATCAACGTAGACACTGGAATCGAATACACGTGAAACGAACGTACGAAACACTTTCTCCATCTGCCAACAATTTATTGTTCATACAGCAGATTTTTTTGGCCAGGTAAATGCAAATTTGCCAGGTTCCAGGAGCGATTGCGAATAAATACGACGATCGTGGTTGGCGAATCGGTGATTTCATCGTTCTCCAAAGTGTATTCGAAGTATGTGCTTTCGTAAGCTGCCCTTGTACTTGGTCCTGTGCGGACAATACGGGCAACATTCCTTTGGATCTTTGCCACACTCCTTTCTCAAGTGATTCTTCATGTTTCTCAGCCAACGATAACCTTTGTTGCAGTTTGGACACCTGAAGCAACCTGGCTTCTTGTCCAGGCAACTGCTCGATTCCTGAGGTAGCTTCAAGCTCGGGTTATTCGAGTATAGCACCAGCTTGTGATGGCCGACAGTTCTGCTTTGGTAACGGTATCCGGACCAGGACGGCTCTGGAAAAAGAACGGGTGTATTTTATTATTAGAAAGAATTCTCGTCTGGCCGCGTATTTTCGTATGTCGATAATAATACTAAAAAGAAGAAGACAGTGGCGATAAATCGCTGTTAGAACAGAACGTGTTCAAGTATTTTATAAACGTCGCTTTTTATTCTTCGTTATATTCGTTTGGCACATGGCTTTATACAGGATCACGACACTTAGGCGTACAATATGGTACGTAGGATGGGTAAAGTCTCATTTTCACTCGATAGCAGAGGAGTAATTCTATCTGCAAACGAAGGTTCCGCAATGTGAAACATCTCTCTAGCTGCTCTCTATTCTATCGCGTTACAAGATTCGATTCACGCGACTCTATGCGAGAACGGGCGATCGTCGTTCTTTATCCTATATGCATTGGCGTTCACCGAACGGAATGGTAACGTACGAGAAAATATAAACGCGTACGAAGCGTACGAGGCTTACGAAACGAGAAACGAGGATGCAAGAAACAGGTGGAGGAAGGAGGGAGAGAGGAAAGCCTCCTAGATGCTACTCGAGAACACGTTCTTGCCAGGATGATTGGTTCGAATATGTTGATAGAGATTGCCACGCTGTTTGGTTCTGTGGGCGCAATAGGGACATTTGAATTGCGGCTCCTTGCCACACTCGTGCCTGGTGTGTCTGACCAGTGTGGCGCGATGCTGATACCCTTTGCCGCACGTCTCGCACCGATACGGAAACTCGACCCGCTTCGCCATCCAAAGGGTCGCCAGGTCCTTGATCAGAGGCATCATCGGGTAGTTGCAATTCCTTTGAAAGTTCTTCGGCATAGTCATGCACGGGATCGGTATGTCTGCAAGTCACAGGAAGAAGAAAACGAGGGGCGTTAGTTGGCGAGCATAAACGAGCGACTCTTCGAATTGGGAAATACTTTGTCAGATAAGAAATCCAACTACGATCAAGAACATTTCGTTTAATTGCGTTTCGTTTAATTACGGCACAATAGTTTTCAATCAACATCAAAACTACATCGAGTCAAAACGTTTAAGATTGCACGAGAAATACGTGTTCGTTATTGTTCTTTATTTTCCGTTTTATTAGCTAGCAACGAAAGGGACCTTTATCTATCGACAAGTACACAGACAAAAGTACGAAAATATTGCCGGTAGAAGTTTGAAAAGGAAAAATGGCTATTCAATTTCCGCTCGTGTTATACACTTCGAGCACCGCATGGCGGAGCCTCGGGTGACGATGTTCGATGTGCCGGTGGATCTGGTCGATGGTATCGCCCACGGTATCGCAATAGGGACACATCTTCTTCGACTCGAATCCACATACTCGTATCATATGCGTACGAAGATCGGTCAAACGATCGAACTTTACGGTACACTTTGGACAGAAATTCGAGCCCCGGAACGATGACGAACGATCGTTTACTCTAGAGTAGAGATTTTCCATCGGTCCGGCGTGGATCCTTCCGCGTCGACGCGTCACGTCCTTCCCAATGTTAAACAACGCGCTTCGACGCGAACCTGAAATCGAACGTGTGCCAATTAGAAATTTCCTTCCGTGTTTTCCTTCTTTCGTATCTTTCGATCGTCTCGTCAACGACCTACGATCGATCGTCCAACGATTATCGTCTTACTATCAAGGCGATTTAGAGGGAAATCGAAGTAGCGGGAACGCGAAAGCGTTAATTCAAATGTTTGTCTGTTATCTTGTACGTTATTTACGCAATAACTTTAAACATTGTACTGTGTGATTTATTGTTTCTAACACTCTTCCTCGGTTCTATGCTCTTACGATACAATAAGGTTAGTCGATAGTCGATAGTCGAGGGTGGACAGAAACGAAGGGACAACAGAGAACACGTTCGCTAGAAAACCGATCGACGACGGTCCAGGTGTATCCTTTCTCGTCGTTGTCTCGCTATTCTCTCTCCGTCCACTTTCTCTTACTTTTCAAACACGTTCTAAACATTCGCTACGCAACTTCGGTTAGACGCGTGCTCG